TATATATATATATATATATATATATATATATGTGTCTTATGTAATTGAATATAATATAAAGAATACAAAGTATATAATATTTTATCGTCATAAAGAGTTGTATCTAATCTGACGAAAAATTATACGAGATAAGAAAAAGAAAAAAAGAAGTAAAATAAAATAAAACAAAAGTAGTATCTATCATTTAGAAATGTGTTTTACAAGAAAGAGAACCAATAAGCGATAAGTTTCATATAAACGAATCAAATTGTCCTTCAAAGAGACGCGACACGTGAGAAGTAGGCTTTAATACTTCACTTATATTCTTTTTACGTGTACATGCAAGTATAATATATATATAATAAGTGCTTGTATAATATATTTATATACACATGTTTAATACATTCGAGTTAAGAGTAGTACATAAATAGTGTTACTTATCTCTTTCTATTTGAATCATTCTATGGAACAAGAAAAGGATAAAAGAGTGAAAAAAAAAAGAAATATCGACATAGTTCGAAGAAAAATGTGATATTTATCATCCTAGTAATTTTTTTTTTTGTAACAGTTTCTCTTTCATACGAACAAACGTGATACACAAATAATGAATAAATTTTTGATAAGGAAAAATAAACGAAAGTGATATCATTGTCAATCGGCCCCACGTGTGTTCGGCTTCTTCCGACTTTTTTCGTTTCGATTCTCCCCTCCTTACCACCATCCAAGTGACACACTAACCAATGATCTTTGAGCTCTCCTCAAGAAAAGCAAACATATTTTATTTCTACGAGCATATATATATATAGTGACCGTTTGACAGTTTTAATAGTTTTACAGTGATCGTTTGGCATTGAGCGTTTGACAGTGATCGAGGATATCGCGAGTGTCTCATTTAATTAATTCTTTTCTCGAGTTTATAAATCTCGTTACTTTTTTTGTATCTACTATTTTTTTTTTTTCTGTTATATGTGACATAACAGAAACACGTGCGCGGTAATAGTGTATATAAATCATTGACATCATTCTTGTACTGATCTAATTAGTTCTAATTGTTCGATTTGTTAATTACATTCTTTACGAATTAATATTCGTATTTTTTTTTTTTTCATTGTCAATTGTTTCGTGTTTTTGTTTTTCAAGTCCACCGAAACGTACAATCAAATTATCAATTTTTATTTGTTACGAACATAAAACTTTCATTTATTCTTTTTATTCATATTAATACATACACAATTTCATACTGTTGTTATATAAATTCTAAACTAATTGCAAGTTTGCTAACGAAACTTACGTGCACGAGAGTTACTAAAAAAAAAACAAAAAAACAAAAAGTGCAACTTAATTAAGTAATATTTGTAAAATAATTTACACTCGGTTGCAGAATTGATTAGATCAGTAAACAAGAAAAAGGTTTGGTTGTCTCGTACAATTTAAACAATTCGATATTTCTAGCGTTCATTTATTTTCATATTATTACAGATTTGTTTCGGAGAAAAGTTTTAATTTTGAAATATTGGAAATCAAAAAAAAAAAAAAGAAGAAAGATTAAAGACACATAAAAAACAAAGTGTGCTAGTGAATAATAAGTTATTCGTGTTATTATTATCTTTCGACAAAGACGAATTGAAAAATTATAAAAATGTTGTCGATGTCAACAGACTATTATAAAGATTATGATTTACCTGGCAATGTTCGTATTTATGAAAAACCATTTCAAGATTACATCGTCTATTACGTCGTTAGAGGAGATCCAAAACTTCATTTGCGTGCACTTAGGCACTCATCAGGTATGCTGAGAATGCTGAAAAATAACACCCTTCTTCTTAAGAATTATATTTTGCTTATATCGAATTTTGTTTATTACGACAAATCTTATTAGTTTCATGTTTTCTTTAACTTTTTTTTTTTAAACTTCCAAAAATATTTCCGTTCTCGCTTTTGTTACTTATCTCATTTCAATATTTTAAAATAATTCAATGTTAACACTTTACCGACCGGTAGCGATTCGAGAATCCCATGCCCTTATCACCGGCCACTCAGTCGCATATCGTCCGCAGTGTTCCCATTCGTACGATAATTTGAGGCCTTGTACGATCCAATTTTGAATTTCGAAAACTTGATGACCTTTTTTTTTTTAGTCATCAAATTTTGCAAAGGGGTACGAATTTTTCGATAGTAAATCTAAATTTCGAGAACCACTACCACCCACCACCACCACGATCAACTTTGAAAAAGTTGGAACTTACACTCCTTTTCCAGATTTTGCAAATCTCATCCGAGAAATTATTGTAATTTAAATTTTTCCCGGAGCGTACGATAATTTTCCGGTGTGTACGATAATTTTACGCCCCTGTGTCCCCTTTGTGTTATTATAGGATAACCAAATTGAATAAAATCTTTTATTTTAATGATATTAGTGCTAAACAACATTTATCGGTAAGCTCTGTGGAATAAAAGTTGATTAATCGACTACCGGTCGGTAAGCGCTGAGAACAAAAAGTCGATTAATCGACTGCCGGTCGGTAAAGTGTTAAAAAAATTTTGTTCTTAACACGAGATAAACCAGACCAGTCATTTCGACTGGTCGGCCCATTTTAATTCAAAATTTCTACTTCATGTAACATTTGAGTTCTGTAAATAATTAAGCGTTTTGTTATTTAAAAATGTCTATAAATCCATTTATTTATTAAAATTATTATTGTTAAACATTTTTTGTTATTTTTTTAATAGTAAATAAGTTATTTTGACTAGTCATTTTGACTAGTGTGGTAGAAATAGGTATACTAAAAATGGTGGTATATTTAGTGTTAAGTATTATAAATCATTAAGGGTGCTCCGGCCACGCGTTGCTGTGGCTTTTTTGATGTGAAAACTTCCCACATAACACGATAAGTTTTGAAATCTTTCAGTGAAAATTTTCGTAAAATATTTCCAAAAAATCTTTCAAAAACTTTGCAGGCATCATTCTAAAATATTGTGAAAAGGATTCATAAAAGATTATACAAAAATATTTCAAGAACATTTTAAAAATATTTTACTGAAAGAGTAATTAAAATGTTTAAAACTATTTCTCTGAAACCTAGCAAAAATTTTGCAAAAAGATTTTATAAAATATTTCAAGAAAGTTTGTAAGAATATTATTTCAAATATTTTATTAAATGTTGCAGAAAGGTTTTTAAAATTTTTCTAGTAATCATTTTTTTCAAAACGTTTTGTTGAAACTAAAAAAAAACACTATTAAATTATTTAAAAAATTGTAAACATAAATATTATCGCCTCGATAAAAAAGATAAATATATAGATAGATAGATAGATAGATTATATGCATAACATTTGTCTTCTTTACCAACTGCGCATGCGCGGTAACATGATATCACCACTTACTTCACATCGAATAATTTTACCTTCTAAAGAAAAAATAATTAAGGTGGATTACCCTTATCACTCAGGGATTTAAAAAATATAAGAAATCCTTTTCTCATACCTACCGAATATACACAAAAAATTTAATAAAAATCGGTCAAGTAGTTTCGGAGAAGATTACTTACGAACCCTGTTACAGGGGAATTATATATATATATTAAGATATATGTTCAAATTATTTATTTGAAATTAAATGACCAATACTTATAATATTTGATTATTTTATTATAAACATTGAACCAACAAATAACGTATATCACATTTGATTATTTTGTTTGTTTTATCGGTCCACTTATAAATCTGTTTAGTTTGAATTTGAAAAACAACAATGGCCGATTATGAATCTGTTTGTTCGATTAATCGATGATACTCGGATCATTTCCGATGTGTACGTGCTGATGCTGCATTGTTATTTTTAACGATCTATACATAATTTTTCATTTATATTTATTTAAAGAAAAAAAAAAGAAACATTTTATGTAAACGTAATTATAATTTCATTGAGAATATATATATTTATAATTTTTGTTAATCTTTCATTAAACAATTCCTTGAATGTTGTTAAATCGTTTAACCCGTAGCGAAAAAAACCCAGATCGAATAAAATAGAATAAGTCACGGAATTGATGATAGTTCAAAATGATCGTCAATTGTTTATCAAGATCAATGATCGTCAATATTGCTCGGAAAGTCACGTGTATTGAACGTTCGTTCATTTATACGTTATTCTATACATATACAAAATAATTCTTCTTAATGAATGCAAAGTGAACGCCATTTTGAAAAGATGCAATACAATGGAAATAAAGAAAGAAGTTTTTCTATTTCTTTTCATATGATGAATTTGTTTCTTTTCTATTATTTTATACAAATGAAATTATTCATTTATTCTTTAAGAAATTCTTATCAAATATCGAACTACAATGCATTTATTTGTTATTTTTTTATTTATTTGCAGACTCCGATAACGAAAGCAAAGATGGTTCCACGACACAAGAAAAGAAACATGGCCGCATGTCTCAACCAATTAACACTATCGCATATACGGTAAGTTATATATTTTTATTGTTATTTATTGTTCTGTTTTATTTAACAATTTTTATTTACAAAGTTAAACCTTTAAAGTGCATACTTGGTAAAAATTACGTTTAAGTGTACTGTGGGTGTTTGACACCCCAACGTGTTTGAACGCGTCTCCTGAAGCCGCTATTTAATATTTAGACCTCGCAATTTTTTTAAAAGTAGTTTGATACATCTTTTTTTTTTTAAATAGACTAGGTTTTATAACCATTTGTTTATTTTAAATTTGTTTAAAAAAATATTGAAATAAAAACCGCGAAAAAGTGCATTTTTTGCTTAAAAAATCATAACTCGTGCAATTTTACATATTTTTGGACAAAAATTTATAAGCATACTTTTGAAAAACTATGCTTTCAGAAAAAAATTAGTGCAATATCGTGGTTTGCAAAAAAGGTATTTATTTGCACGATTGAAGTGTCAATTTTATGAGAAAATAAAACAAGCATTTTTTGCTATTTTAACCAATTTAATTTTTTTTATAAAAGTAGATTTATAAATTTATAAAAGTACAAAATATAATGAAGAAGAGATACAAAACAAAGTATTTCTACTTAATTATTAAATTTTATTGTAAACATCCACATTCTATGCAGATACCTACGCGATGATCATTGCACATCGGGCGCAGACAAGATCCGCAACGAGTTTTTGTCTTTCTATCATTTTTCTTACGGTTGCAAAATGAGCATCTTGCATAGTTTTCTGCACTTATGATTACATTTTCCCCTGTTGGTACTGTTTCAAGGCCCAAAATTGCAGCTATTCCATATTTGATACTTTTTTGCAAAGTCGGAATTTCGTATCTCTCTTGCAAGTAAGATTTGCTGAGTTGTTCAATGACATCTTCAAAGCACTGTTGTGGAGTTACTTTAATACGTTTACCTTCGTTAATCTGCTTACATGTAAATAATATTCTTGCATTTACGATAGCTTGATCCAAAATACCAAAAAAATGTCTTAAAGACCATCTCTTAGTTCTCCTGGCTGTTGTGAATGCATGACAAAGTTGATCGTATGTGTCTGTTCCACCTTTCGTCTTATTGTAATGAAGAATCATGTCTGGCTTTCCATCAGTAATTGCAGTCGTGGATGTAAACGTTGAAGCTAACAGGACGAACTTATTTTTTGTTGGAGTGTATGACAGTAACGTAATTTTTTCATCGAAGCAAAACTTAGCATCCGGAACTGTCTTACTCGCTACTCTCATCTCATCTGGAATTTCTCTTCTATTTTTCCTGATAGTACCAGTTATAGTCAAATTATACGGCTCTTCCAACATTTTCAACAACAGAGGAATCGTTGTGAACCAGTTATCAATGGTGACAGTTCGATTTGTTCCATGGATTGGTGTTGTAACTTCTCGAAAGAAGTATTCTGGTACGGACTCATTTTTGGAGAGTCCATGAGTTTTTCCCAAGTAAGGAATAGCAAAGATCTAAAAAAATTAATTATTACATTACATTCTAAATTTATAATAAAAAAAAAAAAGGAATAAATAAAAAAGATAAAAATATTTACCAAGTAACCAGTTAGGGCATCATTCAACGACTTCTCCATTAGCCCATATTTATCGCGTTTCGATTTCATGTAAACTCTATGTTTGCATCGCCCCTTAAATCCATGCAACTGTTCGTCTACTGTGCACATGCTGCTGGGGTTATAGTTTTTGGAACAATTGTTTATAAAAATCTCCCATAGTTTTCGTATAGGAGCAAGTCTGTCTTCGCGATTTCTTGTTGCTTTTATGTCAAAACGTAAGTTTTCTGACAAAAACAAAAATCTCCTACAGGGCATTACACATCTGTAAAATAATATTCCATTTCCATGATTCCATAACCGTTTTACATCTACTCGATTAGTTTTCCACATGCCAGAATGATATAGAATAGCAATAAAAGCTTTTATTTCCTTTGCCTCTGTGTGATGTTCGTAACTGAAAACTTCTTTGCCCTGAGCTATCATGATAGCGCATTTATTTTCAATTTTTTCGTTAGTACATTCAACAATGATATTTATCATTTCATCGTTGAATAAGACATTCCAAAATTCATAGATTGTGTTGCAGTTTGCAGCTTCATTGATTGGACCAGGTATATATTCAGGTAACGGAGGATTCATTCGCTCTAAAAAAAGTTTTTAAAAAATAATAATCAATAACGCTTCTTCAGTTTTTACTTCAGCGTAACGCGCATATAATAAGCTATTTAATTTTCTGTTTCAAAGCTGTTTCAAAACTGTACCTATAGTATCGGAGCATGGGAAAAATTTCTTCTACGCACGTGTGTCACTCATACACACACACACACACACACACACACACACACACACACACACACACACACACACACACACACACACACCTAATACTTATACGTATAATGTATTTCTTACCTGACTCAGGCGACGCTTGGTTTATGCTGTAAAAAAAACGGTTCTTTCCAACGCCTTTTCTGTACAATTTAGTTACTGGTCTTCCTCGTGCTCTTTGTGCGAGAGGAACATCATCAAGTTCATTTTCCCGCTCTTCCCTGAGACGCATTTTCTTTGTAACACGAGATTCTTGTAATTCATTTTCAAGTTCATCATCTTCATCTTCTTCATCTTCGTCTTTGTCTTCGTCACCTTCATGCTCAAATTCTGAATTCTCTTCTTCTTCTTCACTTTCATTGCCGCCAAAATCTTCTTCGTCGGATAGAGATTCTAGTAATATTTCACGCACCAAGCGCTGACGTAAGTTAGCCATCTAAATTCATGCCATCTAAAGACGATATGACTTAAATAATGGAAAAAATTTTTTAATTTTATTCAAATGATATACTTACGTTAAAACTTCAACAAAAATCAGGAATATACAGGTAAAAAAATCTGCTCCAAAATATTTTTTTACTCACTATGTGCACAGTGGGTGTCTGACACCCCACGGTTTTGAGAGCTCTACTTTGTGCAACAGCTGCTCATACATTGACGCTTGCCGCACTATACTAACCTACTTTAGTTATAGTTAGTGATCTGAATTAACACTAGATAGCGACACATAACCCATTTTTTCGAATTCAGTACTGTTTTTGAGAGATCAAAAATTTGTTGGGGTGTCAAACGCCCCATGTGCACTTTAAGGGTTAAACGGAAGTAATAACTGGAGGATATATATTATATTGTATAACAAAAAAAAGACTTCAATGATGCATAAAATTGTGTATCATAAATTGTGTTTATCATATTTAAAAGTTCTAATTTGTTTACTTGTTTTGTAAAAAAATTTCTATTTGAATTCTTAATTGAATTATATAGTTGTTTCATTTCAAACAATTACGATGGAAACTTGTACGCCATTTTATAAAACGTTTTACGTTAAACGAGTTATTTGGGAAGCTTAGAATATTGGTTAACTGTATATATGTATATGTGTGCATAAAAGTAAAGTAGTTTTGTAAAATTGTCGAGAAGGGGATGGTCCTTCATTGTTTTATTCGTACTTCTTACCACTCGTATGGAATCCGAGAATCGGAGAACATAACCTAAATTCTCGAAGATCTAGGATTCCTTGAATGCGAACGATATTTGATGATTGAAAGCCTCGAATAGATTAATCTTCTTATTTTCGATGAGAGAACACAAAAAAATCAGAATAAAATATCGAACAAATTTTTGAACAATTGTCTTGTAATCAAAATTATATTAATTTTTTTTTTTTTTAATAATAAATAATTTATTGTTTGTGAAAGATATAAAGGAAAACGATTCTTTCTCTTGTACGTTTTATATTTAATTCAAAAAATGTCATGTATTTAAAAAATAAATAAACACGGTATTATCAAATATGCATAATACGTATAGAACATAAAAGAAATATTTTCTTCGTTTTTCTCTGGATCGCAGATTTTTCCTTTAGATTATCATTTTTCTCGTATAAAAGAAGAACTATACTTATATGTTCAATCTTTTTCCATCGAACAAAAGATTCAAGAGGTTTCATTTCTTTTCTTTTCTTTTCCTTGTATTTACTTATTTACAATTCTTATTTCTTATATATATTTCTTGATAAAATATATTTTATGAAAAAATATATTCAATATGTAAAAAGTATAAACGTGAAGAAACAATGTTTATTACAATTATTATAATTTTATTTTTCAATCGAATTTGAACGATCAAATTTAGCACAGAATTTTGAGGTTAATTAGTAAGTTTAACAAGGTTAGGAATTTATTGCAATTACTACCAAGCCATCTATTCTTAGGGTATCATATAACAATAACTTATACAATTAATAAAATATATCGTAGAAAAATATTTTCAATATATGAAACGTGTAAACATCAAAACAACATTTATTACAAGTATTTTAATTTTTTT